TAACGATGACCCCTCGTCTTCTTCAAAGACCGGTATTCATTCCCTTGATTCGCTGTTAGATGACGGTTTATGATCACATCTATGATTAATCAATGGTATGTACAGGGTCTTCAGAATATCACTTTCATACGCTGGGTTTCAAGTATCCAGGTCATGAATTCTTGATCAAAGGGCTGCTTTAGATGATGGTTATCGCTGGTTGTGAGTGGATTGATTGTCCAAGTACATTGAAGTGCTGTTTGTGGCAAAGACATTGTTTTGATGTCATATCTGATCGCTGGATACCCTTCCAAAGATGCTTGTTGCTTTCACTATCTGTCTCTTGAGCAAATGCTCCTGTGAAGAGCACGATTGATGCTTTTGCACATGTATGGGTGCATGATCGCATAAGTATACGCCACAATAAGGCAAAACAGGGCAACACAATTCAGTGTCTGAGACAAAGCAAGTCAAATATCCATGTCGTTACTCCCATGCGCTTCTAGGCAGTCAAATAAAGATAGCAGCGCTCTAATGAAGTGGTCAGATGATGCTATTGAGCTATCCACATGGCTCCTGATCAGGAAATGTTATGTCCATCTAGGCATCTTCCTGTATCCACACGGAGCCCTCTGCTCACGTTAAGCTCTACACCTTGTCTCCGGTGGTGAAGAGGGCCTTTTTTCCACATGAATCCTGTTTCACAGCCTAGCTGCCCAGCCCAAGCCAATATGTCGACTGCCCATGTGCAAGCTGGTCGATACGATGAAAGCTATGCACCCAGCTATGCAACAACTTGTTTTGAAACGTTTTTCAAACTCTTCGTTGTGTGTTGCGCTATGTAGCATTGAACTTGGGCCAAGAGCTCTACCGCAGGCTGCCTAAGAAAATTAAGCCTGGAGGTTTTGGCTACAAAGACGAAGAATAGCCAGATCACAGCTTCTTTCGGCACATTTTGCCCCGACTCATTCTGCGCCCCCCGGCCCAAGAAAGATCAAACTCATTCCTGGTCAATGGTCCAGGTGACGTTATTATGTTCTGAGCGAAGTCCATTTGCACCAAACCATTTAACTGGAGTCAAAGGAAATAATTTAGCTATCTGTATGAATGGCAACATTTTGCTTATGCTTGGAGGCAAGATGAAATCTAGGATCGGGCTGTTTGTGCCCATATCAAGGTGGAATCTGGCCAGCCGTGATACTGAGCTGCCAGATATGGTTTTCTATCGATGCAGTTACCGCTGTTTGTAGGAGCGTTGCTCTTTCCATCCCAGATGCAATGTCTGTTATCCCATGTTTTCTATAAGAAACTTGGGGATGTTGGGGTGGGCTGGTTGTCCTTTTTTGAAAACGGTTGGTATGAATCCAATATCGAAAGCATTGTTGGTAAACCATGGGTATCTTGAGTTTTTGGCAAAGTGAGTCGATGATGCGTTGATCGCGAGATTGTCTTGGAGCAGCTGGCGTGTTGTGTTGGAAACAACGGACGGTGGATGAAAGATTTGAACATCAGAAATTGTTGTGGCGCCTTCGCAGCTTTTTTGCACAATGCTTGTCCTCGTGGCATTGCGAAGAGTCAGCAGCGGTTTCAAGTCCTCTTGAAAGGCGAGCTTATCGCGTCTCCATTTGAGGGCAAGAGACAAGCAGCAAGGATTCGCGGGCGCTTGCAAAATGTTGAAAATTCTCGCTGGGCTTTGGTCATGGCTCCAAAACAGATTCAGCTGGTTGGCGGCGCTTGGCCTAGGAAGGCAGTGTGAAGGTCAGCCGCTCAGCGCTTCTGGTCTGGGGAACTTCGCTAAGGCTTGCTGGGGACTCCTCCATCGTCCGCTTGCTACGGCAAGACACGCTTTTACAGCTCCTTCGCCTTTTCTGCTTGAACATTAACTTCTGGCCTTCGTGGTTGTTGGCTTCTCTTTTCGCTCATCGTCGGAGTCAACCTTGTCAGAGCTCACCTCCTTGTCGAAGTCCACCTCCTTGTCGGAGTCCACCTCCTTGTCGGAGTCCACCTCCTTGTCGAAGTCCACCTCCTTGTCGAAGTCCACCTCCTTGTTGACCTCCTTGTCGGATCCACCTTCGCCCCCCGGCTTTCTGGAGCCCACCTTGTCAGAGGCCCCCTTGCTGGAGCCCCGCCTCTTGGAGCCTACCACCCCATCCTTGTTGTTGTTGGAGGCCCCCAGTTTCTTGGAGGCCACGTCACTGGTGACCACCTTGTCGGAGTCCACCTTGCTGGCGCCCGCCTCGTTGGACCCACCCTTGCTGGACCGCTTCTTGGATCCAACTTTGCTGTTCTCCATCTTGTCGGAGCCCGCCTTGTCAGCGTCCGCCTTGTTGGAGGCCACCTCCTTGAAGCCCCCCTTGTTGGAGCCGCGCTTCTTGACGCCCACCCCGCCGTCGTCCACCTTGTTTGAGTCCAAGTTCTCAGAGACCGTGTTGTTGGTGTCCACCTTGTTCACCTTGTTGGAGGAGCCCCGCTTGCTGGAGCCGCGCTTCTTGGCCTTGTCGGAGTCCACCTTGTTGGAGTCCACCTTGTCGGAGTCCACCTTGTCGGAGTCCACCTTGTCGGAGTCCACCTTGTCGGAGTCCACCTTGTCGGAGTCCACCTTGTCGGAGTCCACCTTGTCGGAGTCCACCTTGTCGGAGTCCACCTTGTCGGAGTCCACCTTGTTGGAGTCCACCTTGTCGGAGTCCACCTTGTCGGAGTCCACCTTGTTGGAGTCCACCTTGTCGGAGTCCACCTTGTCGGAGTCCAAATTGTCGGAGTCCACCTTGTCGAAGTCCACCTTGTTGGAGTCCACCTTGTCGGAGTCCACCTTGTCGGAGTCCACCTTGTCGGAATTCGACTTGTCGGAGTCGTTGCCCCGCTTCTTGAAGCCTGCCTCGCTGTCCACGTTGTCGGCGTCCACCGTGTTGGAGCCCACCTTCTTGTCGCTGGAGCGTTTCTTGGAGCCCGCCTTTTCGGAGTCCACCTTGTTAGCCTCCTTGTTGTGGTTGGAGTTGGAGTCCACCTTGTCACAGTTCACCTTGTTGGAGGAGCTGCCCTTGCTGGAGCCCCGTTTCTTGGAGCCCTCGCTGTCCACCTCGTTGTTGACCTTGTCGCTGAACCGTTTCTTGGCACCCTCCTTGTTAGAGTCCACCTCCTTGTTGGATCCCACCTTGTTCGGGCCCCCCAAGTCCACCTGCGCGTTGTCCGAGCTCGCATCGTGAGAGTCAGCCTCCTGGGCGGCGAGCGCTGTGTCAGGCTTGGAGCGCGACTTGTCCTCCGGCTTGCCCTTCTTTGACAGCTTGGCAACTATGGCGATCTCAGTGGCTTTTGCTTTGCTCGCCGCTTTGGCCCTTTTGGCAGCTGGTCTCTTCATCACGGGCAGGTCCTGCTCCTCTTCCTTGTTCTCATCACCCTGCTCCTGGTCCGCCTTGCCATGCTTGTTCGCGAGCTGCTGCCGTCGCGTCAACTCAGATAAGCTCAATAACATGTGAATGTGTGCGCCTACGGCCTCACACACACACAAACACACATGCACACACGCAAACACAAAAATATAGCAACGTGCATGTAGGCATACACACACAGACACACACACACATGACACACGCGTGAACACACAGAGACACGCGCAGAAAACACAAACACAGATAGCACGCACACACATGCGCGCACACACGCACACACCCGCTCACTCATGCACATGCACATGCGCAAACACACACAAGTGCAGAGAGACACACGCACGAAGAAGCAATTGCTATATTTGTTATGTTATAATTGATCGACCTACATAACAGTTACAAAAAACGCATATGCAACAGAGCAAGCACACAAACAAAAAAACAAATTCACACACCCATGCGCACACGCAAGGGAGAATATACACACGTGCATGCAGATGCGAGCTCGCGCAAAAACATCGCAGCACAAAACAACAAACGTAAAGGTGCATGCGTCTTAATGCACTGATTGCGTTTCAACTTCAGTGTCAGGGCACGCAGTCACCCATCTATAGCGCGCGCGTCCCATGGAGTGTGTACAGCATACATGCGCTCATGCGTGATGTGTGCATGCGCGCGCGTGCGTGCGTGCGTGCGTTGCTTGCAGGTGTGTGTGTGTGTGTCTGCATGTGTGTGTGTGTGTGTGTGCGGCGTACGTTTGTGTTTCTGTTTGCGCGCAAGGGCGCGGGGTTGTTGGGTGTGTGAATGGTTGATTTTTGAACGGCATATGATGTGTGAAGCAGACACAAGCTACTGCGTTTCTAAATTGAGTAGTCTTTCAAGCCAAGGCTCAATGCTTTGTGACATGTCAGCCACTGGCTCTGGAATCGCGTCCTCTTCGTTGAAGCGGTCAGCTAGGAACTGCATGTGCTCCATGACCACTGGTTGTGTTTCTCCATCATCCATCCCATAGGGCAGGGAGTCCTCAACCCACACAGGCTTAGACTCCTTCGTTGTGGCCGCCTTCTCATTGTTCAAGGAGATTTGGGCCTTCCTTACCATCTAAAGTTCATGCGCCGAGAAGTGGAAAAACACCCCACTTCTCCCACTATGTGGTTTAGTTGCAACATGCGTGCGTGTGCGCATTCAGACCATGGCATACTAAAGGTCATGTTGTTCACAGCTCATTCACACACACGCGCTAACTATTTGCTCTAACGCTACGCACTCCGCCCTAGCTAAAACGCCTGCTCAGCCAAGGCTCATGCAAGCGGCTTTCCTCTTCGTGCTAGCAAGGAGGGCTTTCAGCTCCGCAGTGCTCTTGTCGCTGTTGTCGTCCTGCGCGCCCGCATCATCGAGCTGAGAGTCCTCGCCGAAAATCTGCTTGTCCATCACGTCTGTCTTGTTCAGCGCGTGCGTCTGGTCGACTGCCTCAGGTGAGTCCTGGAGCGCCTCTCCACCGGTCCGCGCTTGCACGCCTGGCTGGCATGTCCTCTGGAGCTTAAGGATCACCTGTTTTTCCAAAGTCCACTTCATCAAAGTCGCGTTTATCACAACAAAGAATTAAAGTCCGCTGCTGTTTTCCATATTATCGCTGCTATGTTGCAGCGCTATCGCTTACTGCTGGGTTCCACTGCTTTCCGTAGGTCTTATGCCATCTATGTTTTGAGGAATCTCCCGCGATTACGCGGATACACAACATGCGCTTGAAATTTCAGATGCCGGGCGCTACATCTTAACAATAAATTCAAATTGTGGTTTTTTTCTATTTAGAATTTGTGTTTGTGTTGTGTGCTGTGTCCATGGAAACAGTTGCATTATCTGATAAGTTATGTGGTGTATTGATTAACTAAGACACCAGGGATTGTGTTTCATACAGATGCAATTGTTGCTCAAATCAACTGGTCAACGGAAAGCCATCAGCTGTTTGAAATATGTTCGCAAATTCAGTCTGAAAGCTTTTCGCTTCACTATGAATAATTGAATACCTTTGTGGCATCAAGAGTCAGCTTTATCCGGCCTCTGGTTTGTATATGGCATCGCGTTTCCAAGAGCTACTGTGGAGCTTACAAATCTGGGAACCCACATCAATGGATTTGATGCGGACCAGGCATCCCATTTGAAGGAGAACAGCAAATCACGAAGGAAATTAAAAAACAGTTGAAGCATCGACAAATCCAAATCACGCAAACAGGCATCTGGTGCCAGCTCCAGAGCCACTGGTTTTGTATCAGAAGTGTATATGAAAGCAAATCTGGAACATCCCTATCTTGTCACTATTTGCTAGGCTTACCCGTTATGAGGCAAAAGAAATCGGTGAGATCCATCTCCATCATCTGATTGTGGTTGATGACGCTGCCAGTCATCTGGCTAAAACCGTAGCACCAGCTAGTGCCCGAAGGCGCTCCCTGACCTCCTTGTTGCCCTCCCACTGCTCAGCCAATCCAATCAGTCGCCGAAGAGCAAAAGAGGTTACAAAACCATAGTTCGAATGTTGAAACGATTTACGCCACGCCAGAATCATGTGCAAACATGCAGTTCTGCGATCGAGAAATCACAACGCAAAAGCACGCGCAATTAAGGGCTTATGATCAACCAAATTGTGATGCCACACAAGAAATTCAACCATGCAGGCTCCATACGAGCAACAAACCTCCACACTTCAACCTTATCCCCCCTCAAGCACGCCCGCCCGCTTCCGGCCGAGGCTCCGATGACCAGCAGAGCGATCGATGTGCCAGAAAGGGCGTGGCGCAGCTCCATGTGCTGTGAACCCTCTTCTTTTCAGCTTTGTTGTTGAATTAGTGGCTCTTTATGGGAAATATATGCGGGTAACTCGTTCAAAGTCATATGACAGCATGTGACCCTGGACTGTTCTGTCAAACTGAAGTGCCACATCAACTGAAAATCTAATGATCAGAAACGAACGACATGCACGCAAGCACAAGAGCCGCATCAACTATCACGATTCGAACCCTGCCCAGGGAAAAACATGTCTTTTTGAAAAGACGCCCCTTTTGCACAAAAAACCGGTTTTCAAGTAAGAAACCTGTTTTTTTTGAAGGACCTTCAAAAAAGCAGGCCAAGGAGGTAGCAGGTATATATATACATACATATACATATTAGCATTATTATTATTCGTCTAAACTTATTATTGTTATTATTACTATTATCATCATCGTTATTATTATTATTATTGTTAGTTTTGTTATCATTATTATTATTATCTATGTACTTGTAGTTTATGATGTTCTTATTATGTCATTTGGTGTGTCTCTTGATTACTTGTGTCTTCCAGTATTGGTTGTGTTTTTCTTTTCTTTTTTATGTTTTTGTTTTTGTTCTGTCTGTTTGTCTGTTTCGTTTATTTGTTTATTTCATTCTGTTTTTCTCGTGTCTGTCTTTATTTCTTTGCAGTGTTTTTGTTTGTCGTTTTTCTTTGTTTTCTTTACCTCGCTCTAGACAGAATGTTTCGTGATTTACACATTAGTTGGGCTTATTTTGTATACAACACATTACGCGCTATGCGTGCCACACATACAAATATGTATACATACATATACATATGTAGGATGTGTGAGTGTAGCCCCAAACAAAGGCACTCGATTTTGGTCTAGCATGGGTACGTGGGCCTTCTTGTGTTTCATTTGTTTGCATCTTTCATGAACCTTGGGAGGCTTACATTGCAAATGCGCTCCCATGTCCCGTCTAAGAGTTGCCTGCACACCCTTGGACACCCCACAAGGGAAGCCCTGAATGTCCAAACTTAGAACCCACACCATGCCACTTTCTTACCTTGCTGATTGTTCTAATGCTGATTGCTGATTGTTCTAATGCTGATTGCTGATTGCAAGCAGCGACCCAGGGGTTGAACTACGGCACTTCCGCTTCCTCAGACATGAACATTTGCCTGTGGGCTCTCTGGGGTCCCGTTTGCTCCCCCGCCGAAACCTCAAGACATCCGGAATGAAGTGCAGAGACGACCCTGTCGTCGCCGGGACATTTGGGGGCTGATCAAAAGGTCCTTTACATGGGATGACCATTGGGGGAAACAACCAAAAACAACATATTTTCCAAATGCAAAAAGTTACCCATGGTCAAAACTGGGGGCCGAAGGGAATGTTGATCAATCCCCACTTTCACGGGAAGGGATATAGAGAGGGTCTTTGAGAACCCCGAAGGCTTCCGAATCTTTGGGGCTTGCGTTGTGGGTGGATGTTTTCCCCCCAACTTATTTGTTCAGTGGTACCTGTACCCTCTACAAATTATATGTTTTCTTGGGAGCCACAAAAAATGTAATTAACCCCAAAAGGAATGCTCCCTCATCCTTGCCTAGAAGGGTGTGTGTTGGAATGAGGGAAATTCAAAATGGCGTTTCCCTTGAAAGCCACACCAAAAGGTTAGCCAACGCACAGAGCCTGCTGTATTGCTGGGTCTTTTGCCCTAAACCGAGTCGGCCTTTTGTATCTCAAACGGCTCACGAATTGCAATGGTTTGCTTGCTTGGTGTTCACTAGCGCATATGTTCCTAGAGTCTCCTTCTGCCCCTTTAATCAAAAATGGGTCATTGAACCATCATTTTAAGGGTAATGACCAACCCTTTTTTAAGGGTCCTTCGGGAGACTCCAGGTTGAAGAGAAACCAAGAAGCAAAAGGTAGCCCACCAGTTTATGTTTCATGGTTTCCTAAAAGGAGCCCAAAGGGTCGTTGGGTGTGTTGGTTCTTAGACCCCCGTTTGAAGTGGTGTTGTGATGCTTTTGGTTTCCTTTACAACGAAATGGGGCACCCTCAACACGGCACCCAATTTGGGTGTTGCTCTTCATGAGAGTACCCCATGTTTGCGGTTTCGAAGGGAAACCCAAATGACAACCACCATTTTGGTACGGCTCCAACCTTAAAAAAGTACAACATCCAATGGCTCCACTTCTGACCCTTGAAACCCCACCCCTCCTAGAGTCTATGTTGCAGCCAAGAACCCTAAAAAACCTATACCCTAAATGAGAAGGAACTTTGCAAAATCGACCCCTTCCGTGTCCACTATACCCCCCGAAATCGCCCCCCCCGAAGAAACAAGGAAAAAACAGCCGGCCCCCCCACCCCACAAAAACCGGCCCCCACAAAAACGGCCCCCGGAAAAGCCCTCCCCACAAACACGTGGCCCCTTCCGAAACCCGCAACAAAAAGCCGGCTGTCCCCCAAAACCGGCCCCCCCCCCCAAAACCGGCCAGCCGGGGCGCCGACAGAAGCGGGAAGCGAGGTGGCCTTCATCGAGCGGCTGTTGGTGAAGGACCCGAGCTCGCGGCCCTTGGCCAAGGAGGCGCTCCGCCCGGGGCCTCGAAGCGGTCGCCCTCGGGTCGCGGTCGCAGCGGAGGGAAGCGGTCGGAGGGTCGCGGTCGGAGGGTCGAAAGCCGAAGCCGAGAAGGTCGCCCAAGCCGAGAAGCCCGTGTTTTCTTTTTTTTTGAAAGCGGTGGGGGTCGATGTTGGGTGGATTTTCGAGTTTTTTTGGGTTTTGCTTCGAACAGTTGAACTTGTTGCTGGGGGATCTACAGCACCCAAGCTTTTTGGGGTTGAAGGGAAGCCAAAAGGAAACCAACCATTTTGGCGGGATTACCAATTTGGAGTTACACCCATGTTCTTTGAAGAGAATCTGGTTCCTTTTTCCGGGAGTTGATTTTGTAGGTGACTTTCCTCTTTCAAGGGGCAAATCGCCGATTCTGCATTCTCTGCACCCATCAGCCCATCGTTCTCCTTAGAAAATACAAATTTGGTCCCAGAATTGTTCGCCCAGTTTTTGAAGAGAAGGAGCCCAGACTGGTAGCTGCTTGGGTGGATCTTATACCTTTAGCTTGTTGGGAAATTGAGGACTTGCCCACGAACCAGCAAACCTTTGGACCACCTAGGACCCTAAATCAAGAAAACGTCCCCTGACAAAGGAGGGTGCTAGAATATGCATCCCGGATGCATTTAGTATGCCTAAGCATCGCTGGCTTTGTTTGGGAGTTTCACCAGACTTTTGCCAAATTGCCGAATTGCCAACCGGCACCCTCCAAGAGTGGTCCATTTGTATTTGCAGTGCTCTTGGGTGAGCTACTTTGGGTACAAATGGCTGGAAGTCGTTGTTTTATTTCTCTTTATTTCTTCCGTTGATCTTTGTCTCTGCTCTTTTGGGCTTGGGAAGCTTTGAGGCTTTGGCTTCATTGGTTCACTGCCTGGCCTTCAAATTGCGGCAGTGTTGCGAGAAAGAACACGCGGTGTGTGTGTGTGTCTCTTTCTTTCTGGCAACGTTTTTGGGGGTTTCAAGGGAAGCTAATGGAACCGCTCATTGAGACATACCCTCTTCAAGAAATACGAAGATCGTCAGTCAATTGCAACTTTCGAAGCGGACATCCAGTGACTCTTAGTTGGGCGCGGCTCACGTCAAGGACCACTCCAGCGGTTCGCCTGGCTGCCTTTGCCCCCGCGATCCTAGCCTTTTGTTGCCCTTGCGGTTTGTGCGTTCTGTGATTTTGTGCTGCGGTGATTTTGGGCTTGGAGGGGGTGTACTTATTCACCTGCCTTTAACCCTGTCTGGGTCCGAAAGATCGATGTGTTCCGCGTCCAATCACCAATCCAAGGTTGACATCAAGTTGGGTGTTTCTCAAAATAGGAACTGGACCCCGAGGACAACTTTTTGCCTTTTGAATTAGCAAAACTCAATGGAACACCTGGATTGACGCCCTCTTTCACCCAAAGACAAAATGTTTGCCACCGCGGCATTTTGGGTCCCAGGGGTATCGGGTCACTGGAAAATACGACCTGAGGGGTATCCTCCCCAGACGTTCTGGGGTCCCAAGAACCCCCACAGACGATCCTGTGGATTGTTTTCTGAATGAGTGGTGACCAGATCCTAAGAATGAGAATGGGTGCAAATTGGACCAGGCCGCAGGTTGCAGCCCCTTCCATGTTACCAGAAAATGTTCCTTCCTTTTTGTTTCCCCCTTTCAAGCCACTCAATACCGAGGACCCTCAAAAAACCAACCAACCCAAGTTTGGCGCCCCCAAAAACAGGACGCCTGTTGGGGACCCCTAGCAAGAACGACCCAAACACCCAAAAAGGCAAATTTGGGCCTCAAAAAATGGCCCAAGTACCCCAAAAACGGGGGGGGGGGCTCGGTCCTTGTGGGTCCCGATAAGGCGACCCTTGGCTCGCGGACTCCGACAAGAAGGGCCCCCTCTCCGGGCGCCAAGCTCGGAAGGCCGAGACTTCGGTTCGGAGGGCTGGTGGGGGCGCAAGCCTCACTCGAGGAGCACCCCCTTTTTTTGGGGGGCGGGGTCCTTTAAAAAGAAACCAACCGGCCCAGTTTTTTTTACCGGGGGTCCCTTGAAAGAAGACATGCCATACATGCCCATGTTTCTAAAGGCCAAAGGTCATTTGAGCCACTTGCTCAAAGCCCGGGTAGTTGAAGGTCAAGGGAAAATGCCAAGCGTGAATGGGTGCGGATATCCGCCTTTTCATTTTTTTTACATGGTTCTGGGTTCACCATTTGACTGCCAGATGTTGATTCTGACTCACTTGCAACCAACGCGAATTGACCGGATCTATTCTTTGGTTTCCCCTTGTTGCTACTTTTTTTACAGATCCCAAAAGGTGATCACCTTTTGTTTCCAGCTCCCCTGCGCAAGTGAGAAACCATTACAAACACCATGAGGCTGGCTCGTTTCTTTTGGGAGTTGGGGCCTGTCTGTTGTGGTTTCAACGAGAAACGGGTCCCATGTGTTTTTGTTTGTCATTGTCAAACAACAACCATAATTTACAGATAAGCCCTAGAGTTGTAGCTCAAGGGAGGTTCCATACAGAGAATCCCTCTAATTATGGCTAGTTTGGAAAGCACACGAACACGACAGAGACAAGGACATGACGATGTGGTTGCCCCAGCGGTAGCCTTTCGTCGTTCAGGGCAAGGGCCGTTTGCCTGGACCTGGCCAGCTCGGACATGTCGAGATTTGCGGGTAGGCGTCCCTTCAAAGTGAACCCAAACATATGGCTGTGGGTCAAAAATAGGTACCCAACACGGAACAATGGAAGGGTTATCCCAAAACCTGATGAACTTGCGAAGTCGATGTGCAGCTGGGTTCCTTTGCTTGGTGGCTCCCAGCCATCCGGTCCCTTAGCTTTGTAGATCCTTTTGTAGATCCTTCTCGTGTTTAGTGATTTAATTTCAATTTAACCCACTAGAAGTTAAACTTTTCGCGCCATCCTCTTAGCTTTTAGCGTTTTAGTGTTTAGTGGTAGTCTCCATTTAACCCACGAAAAAATATTCACTTTTCGCGGGGGATCTGAGGGCAACTTGCGAAATGGGTCCATCCCTTGGGAACCACTGCATCAGGGCCACCTCTTCCGACAGCACGCGCGACAGGCGAGGAAAAGCATCGTGAGCTTCGCCCAGATGAGCCACTTTTCCAAGGCGAGAGAGGTTCAACTCAAGCGAACCCACCTTTGATTGAAATGGTTGGCTTTCCTTTTGGTTTCCATTCAAACCGCCAAACACAGTGTGCTCTCAAATCAAAGACGAGCCACCCCCACCTTTGATCCATTTGGGTGTGTCCTTTTTCTTTTTTTGGGGGGGATGGTTGGTTTTCCTGTTGGTTTCCTTTAATCCACCCAAAACGCCCTGAAAAGATCCACCCATTTGTTTGTACCCTTTTGGCTACATTCCTCAAGGTCCGCCAAGCTGAACCTAACAAAGCACGAACATACAAGGTTTGGGCAGCCACAGGTTTAACGTTGCTGTATTTGGGTTGTAGTCTTGACTGCGATTGGGTTGGATCTTTAGACTTTAACTTTTTGGGAAGTAATACACTAACCCCCCCCAAAAGTTAAACCTTTTGCAGCGGGGTCAACAGCAACAAGTAGTTTCCCGTCGGGGGGACGGGGTCCGGGTCGCGCAAATCGACGCTGTGAAGCGAGGGTTGGACTCCTCGACTCCAGGCGGCTCTGAACTGTATGGCCGCGCAACTGGACACGCACAAGATCGAGGCATGATCAGGGAACAAGTGAGTCCTTTGGTGGGGTAATGCTTTGAGGGTGTAGTGTCTTAGAGAAGTGAGGCCTTAAGAGGGAATAGGTCAAACGTCATTGTTTGAATTCTTGAGAAGAGAAATCGGCGTTGCCTGACATGCCGAACAAATTTGGTGTAACCGCTCTCCCAAATGTCATGGAAGATGAGAATCGAGTGTGTTTCGCCACAACATGTTGGGAGGCATTTCTTTATTTGTTTGGGAGGCGAACATCATTTGTCTGCAGCGTGTGTTTCTGGATGGTTTGCTTTTGATGGATGACATCAACCCAGGGACGTTGAGCCCCATAGCAAAGTTGCTGCCATGGTCCGCGTGTTTTTGCTTCGGGTGCGAGGGGATGCCTGTGAAACATGCCAGGCAACACTTGTTGCAAGCTCACTGTGAGCCCTGAGGACCCTGCAGGAAAAGGGTCCCTTCTACCATCAAAAATATGGAGAAACAAAAACAAGAGGTTCTGGCAAATAATTGAGGTGTTGTTTGTTCTTTACAAGGTCGAGAGAACAGGCAGGAGGTCAGGTTGCATTTTCCCCACTGCGCTTGCAAGGATACCAATCCCTTCAGGCCTTGCACTGAACTGTTGCAATGCTTTGGGTGTGGGTGTCTCAGAATAGACCCTGAAATTGGTGGGTTCCCTTTAAAGCCGCCCAAAAAGAAGGCACCAAGTCCAAACAAACGACGAGCCAGCCATGACTTTTTGAAGCGGATTGATGGCGTTCGCCTGCCTTCCAACCGGGTCCTGTCCATTCGGGTCAGCTCCCATGCCTTTCATGGCAACTGTCAACTTGCACGTGTTGCTTGTGGAATGTGGCCTGGAAATGCCAAGATAGATCCCCAGCCCCCAATAAATGGACTTGGGGGAGGGGGTGGCTCCTGGAATCAGGCCCTGGACTCCATCAATGGTTCAAGTCTTCCCTTTTATGGGGAAGACTAGATCAATGGAATTGAGGGACCCCGTACCTTTCTTCCCGGCAACAACTCGCGCGAATTTGGTACAAGCAAAGTTGCAGGCGAGCCCGGAACAGGCAAGGATGGTCACTTATGCGCGTTTCGTTCTCGAAAGCTCTTCCACTTGAAGCACTTCTTGCCAACTTACTTGGCTGTGGCTCACACAAATGTACCAAACTGGCACCTTGGTAAATGGAGCCGAAGACTAAAATCTGATAAACTTTTATTTTTCAGCCACACCCACTTATGAACCATATATGTTTGTACCTTTCTTCATTTCAGAATCCTTGCCGCATGCCACTCTTCGACGCAACGGCACCGTGCTCGCCAGGATCTCGCAGGTGCTTTCGCGGATTGTGATACCGACAACGACGGCAAGCTCTCAGCGGGCGCCCTGGAGCCGTTTTTGCGGACACCGGCAAACACAAACAACAAACATGGTCCAAATGGGCGTGTCAAAATAGGAAACCCAACAGGAATGGTTTGGGAACTGCAACTTTCGTACCAGCCAAAGGACGCCACCCCCGCATGGATCTGCTGACCCCCACCCCACCAATATGTTAATCATCTTCAGAGACCTCCTGTGGTGCCCTTCCTCTTTTGTTGGAGGTGTCCCTTTGACATAAACTTCCATTTGCTTTTAAGAATATGTCTTTATTTCCTCTGTTGGTTTTAAAGGGGATGTGTCACTACTGGACATATTTTCTATGTTGTTTGCCATGAAACTTCTCAGCAAATGGAGGTAAATTGGTGCACAGCGGGCACTGGAGATCGGGTGTTTCAGGATTCTCAGTTGGGATCCAAACACTTGGAAAGCACAGAGGGCCAGGCTCCTACAGGTCCGTGGTCGTTGAAGAGGGCTTTTGGTCAGCCGAAGTGACAAGTCTGAATCGGGATAGATTCTTGGATCCTGACACCCTTTCCGGAGTCCAGGGTGACGCAAGACCCGAACAACTCGCTCTCCCGATTTCCTCGACTTTAAACTGGCTTGGAAAGCCATTCTAGTGGGGAATTTGGCCAATCCACTCAGGAAGTACGGAAACAAGAGCCATGGACCCCACACCTTCAGTTTTCTATGCTGAACCATGCAGCCGGCCAAGCGGACCCTGATTGAATCTTTGATTCCTCAATCGCACGGCAATTCGTTGTTTTCCCGTGAGGAGATGAAAAATTGGGTCTTGCTGTGCCCCGATGCTTTTGTCGAACGCAGCTTTTTGTTCAGGGTGTTCAGGCCTTTCACCGGCAAATGTTCCACTCCCTGGAGCTCGTTTCCGGAAGTCTGGCTGAATGGGCGCCCGCATCCCCCAGGAATTGATCCCGGGGCCGGGTCGCGGCAAGAACTTTTCACCTGGACTTGGAACGCATCCTGCGCGGAAACACAATTTGCCATTGCGCTGCTAACTGCCCGTGGCTCTAGGCAGCCGGTGTTTGCATTTGATGGCTGCATGAACATGACACCCTCACCCCTTTCTAGAAGGGATCCCCCCCCACCCCTAAGGCAGGGGAGATGGGAATCCTTACGCCAGTGGTTTCCCTGGTGCGCGGATTACGCCTTTTTTGTTGTTGTTTCGCACGGTGCTTCTCAACAACATGCTCCAAATGGCTGTGGGTCAAAACCAGTGGTACCATTTTGGGGTAGGTGCACCACCCATTATAGTCTATTTTTAGTGGGGATTGGGATGTTCACTGGGGGTACGGGATTTTGACCCATGGCCAAATACTAAGCAAACGGGGATCAACTCTTTGGAGAAGCTCCCAGGTGTTCCCTTACCAAGCTGAGCCGAACCCTAAAGGACGCAGCCAAAGGTCGAGCTCCCGTTTTGCAAACGCCCAGCTTCCAGCAAGCGGTGCGCTGAGACCTCGGAGTTTGCCGCCGGCCTGGCAGAGATGGGGGTGGACTTGGCCGGGCCCTCGAAGTTGACGAAAAAAAAAAGAAAAAAAAGAAGAACAAAAACGGCGGCCAGGAGGGATGTCACTTGGGATCTTTGGAAAATCCTTGGGGCATGTCCAAACAATATCAAACAACACCAAGACCCCTTCAAATGTCAAAGGATGAGTGTGGAACTGGCAAGGGCAGTTGCCCTTTGACTTCTTACCCGCTTTACAATTTCAATTTGGTGAAAGGCGCTGAAGGGTTGCGCGCCCGGTGATGTCCCACAACGATAACATTCACGATGCTGATGGACAGGATCCTGCATGATGCTGGTGTCGGGTTTCATCCATCCCCACTCGTGCGGAATGTTTCCCATCCACAGCGAACAAATCTCAGTGACTGCATTGAGCGCTTTTTGGGTGAGTATGGCGCTGGCATGGATTTTCATCTGGCCCTTTCAAGTGAGCTCCCTTGGCACATGCTTGAAGCTTTCTATGAGTACTCTGATTTTGAGGCGACTGCGTTTCAGAAGTCAACTCAGTGCTCACGATCTGCGGCTGAGCTTTTGCCAAACCTTCTCACTGCAATCCGGGGGAGGTGGTTGCAGCACCCAGCTACCCAGTGGTGTTTTTTTTTTTGTCTCCTTTTGTTTGGGCAGGGTTCCCCTTTAAAGTCCACCATTTTTTTCCTTTGGTTACTCGGGGGTTCCCCTTTATCCACCCACCAAAACAATGGATGCCAATTCCTTTTTTTTCCCATGGTTACTGCATCTGAGAGGATGTCATCCATCAGCTGGTGGCCAGCGTGGACATGGATTGTGCCAGCTCCTCAGTGACTCACCGGGCGTCATTGGGGGGTCTGTCGGGCCAAACGGTTTCGCGTGAGTCTCGCCTGGTGTAGTAAGCAATCTTTGGGGTGGTCCACCATTAGTGCGTGTTCCCTGTTTGGAGAAGGGCCCCCACGTAAGTGAAGCTAGTTGCCGACATGCATAATTTTTGGTGAAGGGATGGTTGGATATTGACACATCTTGGCACTGGCACCAGGCGTTCAATGCAACGAGGACACAAGTCCGGAGTGCAGTTCGTGACGGGTGCAAATGGGTGTGAGCAAGGGATGGCCCAACTTGGGGATCAAACCCCAAGTTCCCTACTCAGAAGCAAGAAAACGATCTCAGGACAATGCGCGGTTGATGTATCAGGCTGGTTCTATTTGGGGGTGTCAAAAAGACGTATCCAAAATGGAGAACAACGCATAGACTAAAACCTGCGTTCCCCCGACAACTCTTTATGAGTTATTACATTTTTAAAGGATATCACTTGAACAGAGCCAGTACCACGAATGCTTTTCGCTGCATTTCGAGCTTTTCGATGCCGAGGATGGACACATCAACTACACGGAGTTTGTGGCGAGCCTGTTGCAAGCACAAGGCGCTCTGTTTCTCGGCGCCTGCAGGTTTATGTTGCATGTTGTTTGATTGAGTTTGGGAGAGTACCCCTGCGAGAGGGGGGGGTTGTCCTGAAGGGCAAACATGAAGAACCAACAGCCCCTGCCCCTTTTGCCTGGGATTCGTAGGGCCACTCTTGAGCTTTCCGCACTTAAAAGTGGCGAGCGCTGGGCGGCTTCTCTTTCCGCTTCCCTAAGCGGAAAGTTGAAAGATCCAGAAGTTCCGAGTGCGATGTTTTCCGCGTGTAACACCCTCGGTGGGAAGGCTTTGACGCTATCCGCTTGGAGGGCAACTGGTCTGCTTTGAATCGAGCAATGTTTCCACACGATTATATCGCCTCGAGTGATGCTGCATGTTGTCATGACATGTGCCCAGCGATTGGAGTCAGGTGTTGTTTCATTTGCCGAGTGTCACTTTAGGTGCTAGGCCAAAACGTCCATCTTTGGACCTCGCTTGCTCTTGCTATTGCGCAAGCGGGAGAGCTTGTGTTCGCAGGGTTTGTTTTATTCAGCAGGGAAGGTGTCACAACTTAGTTTAACTTCGAAACTTCTATGTGCTTCAGTGAGTTTTGATGATTTTCCCCTGATTTTGATAAGATAATTTTCCACTCGATATTATTTCATTTGGGGCGTAGTCCCAAATAGAGTCACTGAGGTATACCGAGCCTCCAGCGAACATGTGCATTTGTGAAAATTTCCCACGAGTGGAACCGCAGCGTGTCATTTACGGAGGCTGGACCTGCCGGATTTACCCGGATTTACTTTCGCAATGCAATACAGTAGTACCTGGAGTCTCCATGACCCTTAAAGAATGGTTGGTCATTACCCAAAATAATGGGGTCAATGACCCATTTTTGCTTCGGGTCATGGAGACTCCAGGTACACACGGCACATTACTTTATGGCTATTTGGTAACAAATCTTTGGACTTCAACTTCCTGTTTGAAACTTTGCGGGCTTTCTCATCGGACCAAGAAAGTCTATGTTTGTTGCAGAAGGTTCAACAGCAACCAAGACTTGGCCAAGCTTTTTGTTGCAGAGTTCATAAGACCCTTTGCTGTACTAACATGGCACGCGGACGGGTCTCAGGGGTTTGATTTCACCATCCACGAAGTCCTGCACCACCTTTCAGAAGCCCTGGACTGATTTGAGTCCGCAACATACATACCAACAAACGTTCTGGTTTCAATGGCACCTCATTTCGTGGTGGGGTCCAACGGATTTCGCCAAACCATACACGGTGGACGGCTTTACTTCGTGGTGCGAAGGAATTTGGGCACCCATCAGTATGGGACGGGTGCTTCTGAGTCTGTTCGTCCGTGGTCCTTCGTTCGAGTTGTTCGCAGGCAAGCTCATCGACGAGGTGGTCTTCCATGCCTTCCAGATCTTCGACCTTAACGGAGGCCACTGGCGTTTTGGGATGAGCCAACGGTCGCCGACGCGTGCCAATCGCCGACGCGTGCCCGTTTTTTTTGTTTCTTCTCGGCCGGGGGTGGGAATTTGTTTGGGGCCATGTTTGGAGAAGATGTGTCGGTCAGGGAGCGTTTCTCACTCCCTGAGTTCATGGACTTGATGAACTTGTTGGAGACCAGAGTGGCAAAGAACAAGTTTAGACTGGCTTTGGCAAGTCCACTCAGGAAGTGAGGCTTGTTCAGGATATGTCTTTCCGGTTTGAAGAAATATCAGGAACACCACCACTTGTTGGCCACCCTATGTTCACACACACCCAGACAAGGCACAAGTATATCAGTATATCTGCACATGACATACATCATGGGGTGTCAAAAGTCCGTGCTCAGCAGACATGTCATGTGGGAAAGTACATGAACATCGCATCCGTGCGAGCAGTTTTCAAGTCTTTGTCAAGGCGACACGCTTGTAAAGCCAACAAATCACCACCTATGCGCTAGCTTGGCGCTAGCTTGGCGCTAGCATTTTCTCTGCACAGTCACACAACCTATTTTGGCCTGGCCAGAACACAGAACGTATGCGCAAGCTTCGCGCCAGCATTTTCTCTGCACAGTCACACAACCTATTTCGGCCCAGACATAGATATACTGCAATCAGACATGGCTTTGAGCTTGCAGCCAAAGTGACCTAGAAAGGCTTTACGTTAGGTGTGGCCCGCTGTGTGGCCCAGATGCTGACTCCGCATAAGAGGAAGGAACAGCGAGATGCTGGCAGGGATGCCTACCACCGGGATCACGGGGTGCACCGTCACAACAGCCTTGAAAAAAAGGCTGAGCGACAAAAGGGCGACAACGCAAGGCGCGGGGCGCTGGAGAGCATCAAGCGAGACCTCTGTGGCCAGCGCTTTCGGGCCTTGAGCGTTAGTGAGAACACTTTGTCAGCTTCCTGGAAACTATGAACCGCTTCCTAGAGATTATAATGCCATTGCAGATTCGCGGAAAGAGCGAGGGTAAAATTGCACGAGGTACACGCAGCCAGAAGCCGCTCCAGTGTCAGTGGCTCTTCAGAGTAACAAAACGGACGCGGCCGCCGCGGCAGTTTGCCTTTTTTTGCTGCCAGGGACTGTGGGCTTGCGGCGACGCATTTGTGCGTGTAGAGCGTTTTGCTCACAGCGTTGTTGAAGCACAATGATCAGGACCAATTGCAGCCCATGCGTTTCAAGGCGGCACGCTTGGAACTCGGCTATGTCAGGAACATAGATTTTGACAATCTGACATACATGTATACTACACTGACATGTGCTTGGTACCCCCCCAAAGCAGTCGCCTAGCTTTTCGCGTCTCGTGTAATGTGAAACAAGGCAGTAAGCTCTGCAAAAAAGCAGGGCTGCTTCCACTGCTTGCAGTTGAGTTTTGCTGGTGGGAAGTGCAAAAGTGCAACTGCAGAAGTGAGAAACGTTGTACTTTTTGCACTTATTTGCGCGACTTGTTTCACCTTGCTTCTCTATACAAGGCGGGAAACCTAGGCTGAATAAATGCAACCCGACATTGGGCTTCAGCATGATGGCTTCCCAGTTCAAGATCGTTTTGCAATAGTCAAAGTGTTCAGGAAACGAAACAGGGTACTCAATACAAGAGCTCCTTTTTTTCCGCCCAGAAAAATGACCCCCCCAAAAGTCCCAACATCTCACAAACACCGCCCTTCGCCCAGCTGCCAGGAAATGTGCTTGTTTTCTCCAAGCCCTTCTTGTTAACCATTGCGCGTCTTCTACTTCAAAAACCCACCAGTCCAGAAGCAAGTCCCACAGACTGCAAATTCTTTATCTAAGCCTTCTGTAACTGTAGCAGTGCCTGGCTTACAATTCTCCAAAAGAAGCCAGTCAGATCCGCTTGGAAACTGGTCAAATGCCGGCCAACTCACTTAACAGGGACTTGCTTCAGAGGGGCTGGAGGCAGCTGGAGCATGGGCTTCGTTCACGCGACACAAGCCGCGGGTCTGACTGCTTCCCGGCCACAGTTTTGAGGGACCACCTTTAAGGTGGTTGGTGGACATGAATCCTGAGCTAAATGATTTTTACCCACGGGTCCCTTTTCTGAATTGCGCACCCATAAAGAAAAATACAAAGGATAGTTCGCATGAGCCCTGGACCTCAACCCCCGCGCAGCCCCCAAATGCCTTGCGCGTTGCGGCCATGTCCCCGCGTGTGCGCCTATCGGAGTTTGTGCAGGGGCAGATCCGTTTGGTCGAGAAGTAGTTGACTTCCTGTTGGTTGTCTCCTGTTGAGTATCCCTAGGAGCAGACCATCCAAAACGTAGCTCCCAATTCGCCCAGATTCGGGGCCGGAAAGAGACGGAACTCAATTGCCAGTCAGGGAGTAAATGGCCGGAGGACTTACTGATCGAATTTTGACCGTGATTCGTGCTCAACGTTTCGATGTTATTTTTGTTTTTTAATATGAACCATTACCTCACCTCCTGATTTCTTGGACTTTAATTTGTGGGCTTCTTTTTGCCCCTCTACTCAGGAAGTAAGTTACAAGGTTCTTTCCACCCCTTCGAATCCTCGGGTGGCTTTGGCAGCCTGAGTGCAGGGCGGAGTGCGCTTTAGCAGATATCGCCAATGACCCCCGTCCTTGAACACGTATCAACGCGGCCAACAAGGTGCACCAACGATTTGAGCGCTTTTTGACGATGCTCATTTTTTGCTCATCCCTTTTGTGGGTTGCCCTTTTTCCAAGGAACAAATTGCGAGCAACCCATTTCAGGCGCCCCTGTCCATGCTTGTTGTTCCCCTGTTTTACAAGGGACTTGACGGGTTCCTAAAGCTGGAGAGACTATGGCCGCTTGCCAGATGGGCATATCTCGTTGGACGAGCTCCGGACGATGCTCTCCGGCAACGGGCCGTTGTCCGCTGCGGGAATGCCCAGTCGACACTGGCGCTGGTTGGGTTTGGATCCCGAAACAGCGGGTTTTCCTCGGGCTCTCTTGAAATAAAAGGGTACCCTCCAAAAAGCACACCCAGAACGATCCGTGGCGGCACGTGATGGTGAAAAGACCTGTTTACTGGAGGTGGGGCACAACCCTCTTACCAGGATTCTTAAAAAGAAAACCGTGGCCCACAAGTGGTGGAGTTTTGCCCATGGCGCGGCGTGATTGTGATGGTTAGAGTTCAGCTCGTCAAGTCTGTCGGGGTTTATTCATAAGGCAGACAGAAGGCTTGTTTGCGTTCTCACAAAAGCCGAAAAGAGGGGGCGACACGCTGGGCGGCGATGATTCACCCCGCGTGGCTAGCCATACTTCTTCCTTATTTTCATCTTGATATTTCAGTCAGCGTATTTCCACTGAGAACGGTTTGATTCCGAGCGTGCAATTCGGATCCCCAGAATTCTCGAATCTCATGGAACCTTCCACATGGGTGCTGTTTGGTTTTGATTCTCCCTCAAACACCCGCACCCTAATAGTGTGGATGAACAAAATCCTGCACCGAAGGGGATGGATGAACCCCGACGAATGGGATTTTCTCGAGTCACGAGTCGTCGAGCTGCAGCGCAAAGCCGGGATTTATGTTTGGGCCAGCATTCGGAATCTTGTTTGCATGGCATTTGGATGCTTGTTTCCTTGGAGTTGGCACCCCTGCTTGGTAGGTTTCAAAGGGAAACTGCAGTAACGCCACCACTTTGGGGTGTCCCCTAAAAAAACACCCATGTATGGTCTACTCAGGGTTCGGGACGTGGGGGGAAAAACACCCATGTATGTGATGATGGTAGATGTTTAGGTTTGTGCTGTGTTTAGACTTCAACGACCAAAGCAGTTCTGCCCGCAGCCACCTTGCCGCCTGCCCCCCTACACCTTGGCCGTGTAGGCAAAGGCCAGGGGATGCCGATGGTAACGAGCGCACTGGGGGGGGGGGGAAGGTAAAACGAGCTTCCCCATGATGAAGATCAACTTCGACAGTGCTCATCACGCTCTTCTACCTATGATTTTGGCATGCTCGGATGGAAGAACAACTTGTGTGTAGAAGAGACGGAGCGGGAAATGCTGAGACGGCCTTTGTTTCGTCCGAACAAAGGCGCTCCTATGTTCAGATTTTATGGGGAAGATAATTGTGCATGTTAGAAAGTGTTTGTTAGAAGTTTAAGATTGAGAGCCCGATCTTTCAGCTCTAGTGCATGTGATGAGTGTATTCTTCAAGCACGGAGTGCGTTATGTTCAAGCTGTATCCTCTTGCCACGCTTTTTCTTTTGCTAGGTTGGCTTCGAAACCCGTGAAGTGCAGATTTATGAAGTGGTCCGAACGAAAACCTTGGCCGCAGGGCGGCCAAAGGAACCATCACTTGGATTCCTGCCGAATGGACAGCTTTTGCATGCTTCTGCTGAAGGCTCCTTGCAACACCCGAATTGGGCTGGACGAAGAGATAGGCGCCCAAGTAATTCGATATTATGTTGTGGGGTGCTCTTAGGCCAACCTACCGCATGATCATGGGAGAATCAGGATTGTAATGATGTTGCCCTTGTATTGCTATGCACCTTGCTGCAGGCAGACAAGATGCGATAACTTTCAGGTTTGTCCAGGGTCATCATCTTTTCTTTCCGGGTTTGTGGCCCTTGTTTGACCAACAGGGTTGCAAAAGCACTGTGATAGGAAATTGCATGGAGAGCGGCGTGATAGAAGTCTGATGCTGATCAAGGCTTTTTACAAATTGATCCATTTGGCCCGTGTTAACGTTTGCTTCGGACATTTGGAATAATCAGCATTGACAAGCTTTGCAAACTATAGGACAAGCTTTGGCAATTCGACAACGCGGCTCTTGTTCTGGGGAGAATGGACGCCCGAAACGGGCAAGCGAGGCTCAACAGCCTCCCGCACCCAACAGGTTGATATCAAGGTCGACGGTTGACCCCCCATGATTTCCGCTCATCCTTTTAGTACACTCCCTCAGACTATCATGGAAGCTCCCAGGACCCCTTGGGAAGACTTGCTTCCATTTACAGGGGCCTTTTGCCAGCTTGCATGTTAGGCTGAGGGAGTGTATCTCCACAGTTTCGCGTGGTTGTCTCGGTGTTCTGGACAGAAGGGCTGGGAAGTACAGTCCACATTGCCCACATGCGGACCATACAATCGTTCCAAAGTGATGACAGGCTATGGCGCACGAAGAAGGCGGGGGGGGGGGGGTACAAGCTCACCAATTTTTAGTTGTCCAGGTCTCCAGTAGTGCCCTTTTACCCTTTTTTCGGGAGGGTGCCCCTACTAGAAGAGGCTACAGAAAAAAAAGGGTACCCTTCTTCTAACCTCTCCTGGAGGACGTAGTTGTGTTGCTTCAGCGCACTTAGGAGGCAGGGCCACGGCCGTGAAGATGCCGCTAAATTGGCCAAGGTTGGTTTGCGGCATATGTTCTGATGGTCTTTGAGGTTCCTGCAAACTTAGTTGACCATTCCAAAACAAACAAACTCAGGAGTATGGGCAATGAGCGCCTGAACCGTGTGTTTGCATTGAATCGTTTAAGCACGACTGCAGAAAGTGCCAGTTTACTTGGACATCCTGGGCTGGAACCATGTGGATCACATACGCATTGCACATCGCGGCTTTGCATGTTGTGTATTTCTTGCCAGGATCCATGCATCAGCAGTCATATCTGCCTGGAGTCTCCATGACCGTTAGAAAAAGGGGTCATAAGCCCATTATTTTGGCTAATGACCCCATTTTTAAAGGGTCATGGAGACTCCAGGTGGTTGTGGCGCATGAGGTTCACGCGCTTCTGGGTGCTCCCATCGGCAATGAGATGTGATTGCCTTTCAATCGTCACCTTTCAAACAGTAGCTGCAACTCTTTGAAGTTCAGATCCTTCGGTTCCCCTTTGGGGTTGCGTTTTTTCCGCGGCCGCTCGGGGAAAAGCGAGCACATGGTGAAGGTCCCCATTAATGTGCAACTTATGTCCAGATGGAGAAATATAGCAATTTTCGCAGATACTCTTTGGCTCGCAAATGGTTCCCATTTAGGCTGAGCGAACCTTTTCTTCTCTTCCTACGGAGCCCTGAGAGGCTGGGCAGCTTCCCTTTGGTTTCCAGCCTGACAGCCCAGTGAAGTCTGAAGGCGGCTCACGCCCAGCACCATAGGTGTCCTTTTTGGTTGTTTTGGTAGAACACTAGAGGGCGATTCCTGGTTTACCTTGTGGTTTAATCATCTACCAGGGCCATCTATTTACCCTAAAAGGACACCTATGCCCAGCACACTCCGGTTCCAGGATTCGATGAGGATTGGGCTCTCGTGGTTCCGGCCTCGATGGAGACCTTTTTTTTGTCGAGCATGTGAGTTGTTGGGGTGCCCCAGTCTACTTGTCCTCGGTTTATCAGCCGAACCAGCAAGAATGGAATACGTTTTTGTTGGTATCGTGAAGTGCTGGGCTCAAACTGTTTGTGCTTTCTTTGGTTGCCAAGGTCTACCTAGAGTCTCCATGACCCGAAGCAAAAATGGGTCATTGACCCCATTATTTTGGGTAATGACCCCATTTTTTAAGGGTCAGAAGGAGACTCCAGGTATAATATGGATGCCTTGCGGACTCCGCCTTGGTTGGTGCTCAAAGAAGCTGGGGCCCTGATTGTTTTAGACCGGGACGGATGGCCTCCATGTGCCAGGTGAATACAGAGATAACACTGCCAGTCCCAGTGAATTCTGAAGGTATATTTTTTGCAGGGGGGGGTGGGGGGGGTACCATATAGATATACCTGGAGTCTCCATGACTCTTAAAAACTGCTTGGTCATTACCCAAAATAATGGGGTCAATGACTCATTTTTACAGGGTCATGGAGACTCTAGGTATATATATATATACATATTTGTATACACAATCAGGAGCCTACTTCGCCGTCGCTCAACGGGCCCCGAAGCTCCGAAGGTCGGTCGCTGACGCGGGACCCGGGGGATGGGGTGCTGCCACGTCGCAGCATCGTCACGGGGGTGGGGTGGGGTGGGGTTATACCTTATACCAGATATGGCTGTGGGTCAAAAATGGGATCCCATTTTGGTTGAACTCACCACCCATTTTAGAACCTATTTTAGTGGGGATTGGGATGTTTACTGGAAGGACGGGATCTTGACCCATGGCCATACATATATGTAGGTATGTATGTATGTGTATATATATATATATATTTATATACATACTTATATGCTCACATTTACATGCAAATAATTAATAAAATAGAAAGCTTTTGTCTCCATGTACCACGGGCGCGCTCTTAAAGCCCGGGCCCAGGTGCGAGTCAAGTGCCTGGATAAGATCAACGTGCAGACCTTTGAGGCGGGGTCTTAGAGGATCTTTGACAACCTGGAGTCTCCTTCTGAATAATGGGGCCACGGACCCATTTTTCAAGGGTCATGGAGACTCCAGGAACATCTTAGAGCCCGGCGTTTGCTCCCTCGATTCAAGGGGGCGGGAGGACCTGAACATGGCGAATAGATGGCAATCCCCCATCCGGCAGCCGCCCTCTGTACTCCTGCGATGAAGCTGCTGCTACAACTCCCGCACGCACACCTCCAGGTTTTTTTTCGGTTCAGTTTGTGCGTTTGGCTACTCAAAAGGGGCCTGTGAATGTGCCCAGCCGCCTGTTGTTCCTGTATTTGTTTGGTTGCCCAACGCCCAAAGCATCAGTGCACCCACAAACCGCCGAAGTAATCTCGTGCCTAATCTTCAAGAGCCAAGCTGTTGAGTGTGCGACCCCGCGCGAAACCGCCTTGTCCATGGTGCTGATTCTCGGCGTTTTTTGTTTTTTGTTTAGCATGCTCAATGTACCCTGGATCAGTATAGCTGTCTCCGGTCGAGTGAGTCACAATCAAAACCTGGGTGATTGGAGGGCAGTAAGGGATCCCAGCCGTAAATGGATGTGGGTATCCGCCTTCTCAATTCTTTACGTGGC